AGGTACTAACCTGATATTCTGGTTTGAAAAAACCCTCTCGCACCCACCACGGGTACCAGGCAGCTTCAACATATCGGGGGCTGTATGCAGGAGGCAGGGGCCCAGAGACATCTGTGGAGATGGCAGAGAGCTCCACTAACTACCAAACTTTGTTCCCAGGCTGCATTTCACAAACCAAATGGGCAACAAAAACGTGACAGAAAAGGCCTTCAAGTTCTCTAGTTACCTTTCTTTTCACCAGGTTCTGTAGGGATTTCATACAATATTATCTCCTTAGGACTCCAGGCCTTACTAGATTCTGCAAGGGACTGCAAGGAGGGAGGAGGATGGGATGCAATTAATAGAATATCCCAGCCATCTGGATTCCAGCCCGAGTTTCCTCCAGCCCCCTCCCAAGCCTTAGCGACCCAAGGACAAGCTGTCCGGCTCCTAACCTTGCTCTTCCCGGCTATTCCAGCCTTCAGCGCCGCCTGCTTCTCTCGCAGGCGCTTCTGTTTGGCTTCTCGGTTCCTCCGGGAGATGGGAGATCCATAGGGCTCTGGCTGTGTAGAAAGGGGATGGGACCTGGGGAGGCTCCGTGAGGACCTCAGCCCCCAAAGTGGTGGTCGAAAAGAGGCCAGAGTCAAATGAGGCATCAGGAGTGTTTGGAAAGGGACCCAGATCTGTTCCGGACAGAGAGCACATTAGGAGGATATGGGGGTTGGGGAGAGTCACACCCCCTAAAATCACTCCCCTTATTCCTTATTCCCTGCCTCCTACTATCCTTGGTCTGTGTTAAGGGTCTATCCCTTCCCACACGACCCTTCCTCCTTGAGGACTGGAGTGCTTGATGTCAATGGGGAAGAAACCCTGGAGCCACAAAGACCAGGGCTCTTCTGGAGCAGCGTAGGAGTCGCTGACACTCAGCCTAGGCATCTACGACTCGGCTGTGACACACGGACGGGAGAGGCCTCGAGGACTGAGGACGATGCTGCGCACCCGCGCTCCTAAAAGCCAGCAAGCAGTTCCTCAGGGTCCCTGCGATCTCCGCCTGCCCACACGCCGCCCGCAGTGCCGCCAGCCCTGCGCGGCCCGACCT